AAATACTTTTTGTACGAGCAGATGATGCTTTAATTTTACAAATTGCACTTTTGCATATATTTATTTATCTCGAGTTTTTATAGTTAGTTATTATATACTTAAAGATTATATATTTACACACAGATTGTAGATATTCTCCCACAAATAACACTGACACAAATCTATCTCCATATCAAAATGCCAGAAATTGAGACATAGTTTGACATTGTGTCAGTTTTGCATCGTGTATCAGTGAATATTTGCGCAGAAAATTAATCCTTATGAAGTCATTTCCAAAACAAGCTGACACAGGTGAGTGCAGGATGAGAGGTACATAGGTTTCATTTCCCTGACCGCCTTTCCTGCTTCAGTGTACAAATGTCCCACAGCAGGAATCGTCCCGTGAACTCACCTTTTCTTGCTTGTCTCGTGAAACCAAAGTCCATCTGGACCTTTGACCACCAAAATCTAATCAGTTCATCATTGAGTCCAAGTGAACGTTTGTGCCAAATCTGAATGAACTCCTAAAAGTATTCTTGAGATATCATGTTCACAAAAATGAGACAGACAAGGACACACTGATCTTTGACCTGTAACCACCAAAATCTAAGCAGGTCATCGTTGAGTCCACATGAACATTTGTGCCAAAATTGAGGAAATACCCTCAAGGTGGGTTATAAGAAGATGTTCTGAAGCGTCAGAGAGCCAGAAACTGATCTGTAGAGTTGTTCTTGTTGTTTAATGCAGCAGAGAAAATACAAAACAAATGTTAATCAACAACAATTTACACCCGAGCCTGTTAGTCAACTCACCAACACATCATAAAACACGTAATAATACTGATATCCATGCATATATATGAGTAAATGGTCCAAATTAAATAATGTACAGCACATTCATGATTGTTCATATACATGCACAAACCAGATGTAAATATCTAGAGCACACAGGCGGCATCAAGGTCATGTTTCTCAATTTGGAAACTGCACTCTGGCGCCACCTGGTGGCACAAATAAATAACATTTTTTAATATATATGTGAAGGACATCATTACCCAGAAACCTTTGGGTCTGACAGTTGTCACTACAAGGACCGTTTATGTGTTTAAAACTGCTTCACCACACACCACTGCATTCGATCACTGCTTTCAGTCCATACTGGAAACATTCTGTGAGAAAATCAAATTGACACACGCTTGAAATATGTTCAGGATCGCAGCGAACACTGTGACATCCACAGAATGGTCTTTATTAGTGATAATGTGACATAAAAGTCACATGTTCAAGCTCCAGTGTGGAGGATTTAGGGGGATATATGGGCAGAAATGGAGTATATTACATTTTCTTTCGAGTATAATGACCTGAAAATAAGATTCATTCATACAGTAGGTGTCTTGATTTCCAATGAAGGAGAACAGTTTTCCTGACAATAGGTACAGATGTATTGCTTGTTACTGTTTTGCTTTGGGGTTTGACCACCAAAATCTAATCAGATCATCATTGAGCCCAAGTGAACGTTTGTGCCAAAATTGAAGGAACTCTCTAAAAGTATTCTTGAGATATCATGTTCACAAAAATGAGACAGACAAGGACACACTGATCTTTGACCTGTAACCACCAAAATCTAATCAGGTCATCGTTGAGTCCAAGTGAACGTTTGTGCCAAAATTGAGGAAATTCCCTCATGGTGGGTTAGATATGGAGAGTAGGTCTCCTGAAGGAGAACAGTTTTACTGACAATAGGTAGTGTGACAAGAAAAGATGTATTGCTTGGCATTGTTTTATTTTTGGGTCACAGTGACCTTTGACCACCAAAATCTCGTCAGTTCATCATTGAGTCCAAGTGAACGTTTGTGCCAAATGTGAAGGAACTCTCTAAAAGTATTCTTGAGATATCATGTTCACAAAAATGAGACAGACAAGGTCACACTGATCTTTGACCTGTAACCACCAAAATCTAATCAGGTCATC